TATATAATAAAGAAATTTGTTAAAAATAACAAGATATTAAAACATAGTATATATTGTTTTAAAAAAAATAAAAAAGCAAAGTATGAAACATGTAGTTTCTCACAAATAAATGTGCTTGTATTGAATATATATATATATATTTTAACATATACTTGCAAATATAAAGAAATATATAATAAATACATTTTAATTATCAAATTAAAAATTTTGAATATTTTGCAAAAATTTACCATTGTAGATAAGTTGTTGGGTACGCATCGATATAAACAACCCTATCATTTCCGCCCCCAAATATAACGTGGAGTTTTTGGAAATGTCCTAATTATCCATCATTTGAAAATTCAACAATTGTGCAACTGACAGTAAGTACAATCTTTTGTTGACTTAATTTTTGTTAGGTAAATATTTATATGATACTTTATATAATAAAAAAAATTCTTTCAATTTTATTGGATGTAACGCCAAGTGTAACTTCCAATATCGAATTTATTTCGAGAATAAAAATGCTTATCGAGATGTCGGGAAAAATAACATGTAAAGCCTGCAATGACCGTGGTTGTGACAATTCAACTGCCTCAATTCTTGTTTCCGGTATATATTATCCGTTATTATCTACATTAAAACTATGATACTCGGATAAAAAATTTAAACATACTGTATGTTTAAACTGTTTAAATAATTTGAAACAAAAATAGCTTTAGCTTTAAGCTTCGAGTTCGGAAAATATTCATAGTTTCATCAATTCAACGTAAGCAATAATTGATCAATAATGTCAATTTATAATGCTTAAATATTGGAAATGTTTAGACAGAAAATTGAAGCAAAAATAGTGTAAATATGTAAAATAAACAGTTTTTTTTGGTTTTATTTAACTTTATGCAGATTTGATACTATCATTATTGATGTTTCTATAGAATATTTTAATTTCTTAAGTACATTCTTATATTCCCTTCTTATTTTTCCGTTATTATTTATGTTTAAATACAAACTACATTAACAAGATATAATTTTTAGAAATCTTTTTATTTGATTTAAAATGCATTTAAATGTATTAATATGTCAATAACACAACAATTTTTTTATTTTTTAAATATTATAGATGGAGTAGATGCTTTCGGTATTATCAAACCAAAAGAGCCGATAACAGCAGGTGATAATGTAGAATTAACATGTGCTGCTTCCATTTATAATTATACACATGATCTTACATGGACAAACCAGACTCAAGCGCCATTTGTAAAAACAGGTAATTGTTTAAAACAAAGAAAAAATAAAAAAAAGGGATTTAATAGTTGAGCGCAATAACATTGTAACATATAGAACACATAATAATAAATATTATATTTAATATTACTTTTAATTATAATATTTTGTTTTATATTCATTCTATGTTTACGCTCAGAATTGTTCAATATAAAATTTAAGTTTTTATCTTTACTTTTATTTCTTAGTTGTTAATATATGTAGAAAAGATATAAATATAAATATATTGTTTATAATCTTTGTAATTTCAGAAAGACTAAATATTATACAACATAAAACTTCATTCACCTATCGATCAACTATAAAAATTAATAATGTGCAAAAATCAGATGCTCAGAATTATATTTGTAATGGGAAATCCAGGGATATGATATCAAACACTTTTTCGGAAATAAAATATAAATTGGTTGTGCATGGTAATTATAACATTTCTGTACATTTAAGTAAAAAATTATTTTAAGTTTAGTTATATTTATAATAATTTAATTTTGTTAAGAAAAACTGAATATTATCAGAGTTTCTTTCAAGAACGTCAAAATGGAACAAATCTCAAATTTTTTTAATATAGATATATTTAAAAATATTTTATAAGCCAAACCACTTGTGTCACTCGTTTATTTTAATAATAAATTAAACATTTTTAATTAAAATTTATTTATTATATAAATTTACTAAAACGAAACGTGTATACCATTTTTGATATGTTCATACCACATATAGATCCTTTACGACCATATTTTAACAAAACTAATATGAATGGAACCAAAGTGAGACATATTGATTTGATTGCGGGGATAAAGTTCCGAATAGATGAAACGCCCGATTTTTTTGAAACTGCACTATTTTATGTATTTTGGCGCGCTGATTACGAATATGATAATGAAAATCGCCGACAAGGTCATTTTCAAGGTCAAAACTCCAAAAAAAGTGAAAAAATATTACTTTTTTGAGATTATTTCGAGAAATATTGATGTAACAAAAAAATGTTTCAAATAAAAGTTGTAGTTATTGTAAAAATACATTATTTATGTTCTATGCATTTTTTGTGTAAAACTGATAATTTTCGAGAAAATTGACGTTAAAGATTAAAAACTTTGGTAAACAGTGTTACGTCCTGATAGATGTAGAATTTTTTTCGTTGGGCTCGGCGATCGGCGTAAACGGGTCTGACCGCACGAGCCGAGCGGCGCGTTTAGGACTTGCGACGGGTCAGCGACTGGAAGAGTCGTCTTTACTCCGTCAACAAGTCAACCGCTCGTGGTTCTCTTTTGGGTCAAGGAATTGAATCCT